GTAAACTATGGTGCAGTACCAAGTTGAGTACAGCTGGGGGCAGTATTGGACCAATACAAGGCTCCATTGACTGCCATTATAATTTATTAAACATTAATATTTTATAAACTATAAGTTTTACAGGCACCAAAAGGCATAGCCATCATTTAGCACTAGGGCTTTACAGATATAAATTACAATGGCAGCTCTAGGACAAAGTATGCAGGAGGAGAAGCATGGCAAAGTTGAGATGACTTGGATGGGAAATGAATCACAATAGTGTGCAYTGCATTGGCAATGCACACTGAATATAATGTTTAGGATATAATGTTTGTTTCCCTGACACTGCCTCACTAAAATAAATTCCAGGACCCGGCTGCATTTGACTCACAGCTTCAGTTCCTTCTTCACTTWGTCCACTGCGTGCACCTCTGGGACATCAGACAGTCTGCTGGTTCAGTTTGGTATTCTCACTACATTTATTTACTTATTATTCATGTGGATCTAAGCAAAACATTGAAGTCATGCAAGTATTACTTTGAATTCTTTTGCAGTTCTAATCGTATTTAGTGCTTTCAGTGTCATCATTGTGTGTTTTCATTTACTATGTTTCTCTTTAGCTTTGATAAACATCTAACCTACAGCCTAGATAACAATTGGAAAATGTCCACTGAGCAGTGTATAAATATATATTAATTTTTTATATAGTGAGGCAGGTGGTTAGATGAGTGTTATTTTAATGACTGACACAGATGAACCCAGTTCTGTAGAGTAAACTGGATTTACCAGCTCTACTTCACATGTGTAGAGCAGTGGTGGATGCTGGTCTTTCAAGAAGAGGAAGCTCAATTTCGGCCTTCAAAATAAAGCGTGTCGGTTTATAAATTCTACCCTCCGTTCCTGTTCAAGAAAAAGATCTGTGACCCTGTCACAGATCTTTTTCTTTAGTTTATAGTATTTATTCATTTCATTTAAAAAAAAAAACATTGCATAAAACAAGACAATACAAATAAAAATACTTTGCATCACTAAGGAGCTCTGTGGAAGCTGAGCGTCCACACTGTTTAGAGCACTGTGAAGCTGCAGGAATGAGGGAGAGGAAAGCTGCATCGTTACCAGTGATAAGAAGCTGATTCTGAACAAAAGTTGAGCGCGTTGTAGCGCATATTTAGTCAATGACATGAACACACAACAGTATTTGATTTTTTGATTTTTTTTACATTTTAGTGGAAGCTGAGCTTCCCTTGCAGTCTTAGAGCAATCGCATCTGGTTCCTGGGGGGACTCTCCCAGTTC